TTCATGCTTGGCTTGAAATTGCAAAGAAATTCTTTCACATTTCACATATCTATATAGAATCTTCCCTTGTTTCTTACAAGGGAATATAATACATTCATCTGCTTGCATCGTGCATTCTCCTTACAGGTAACAATTATTATTCTAGGAACTCATTTCAAGGTACTTCACCTTTACATACATTTACTGATTTTAATAATATTGTAACGTAAACTATTTTTTTTTTGTCATTTTTATGTTATTTGTTGAAATTCTTTTGAGATTAACTTCGTACTGTTGAGAGAATAGTATAGGCTTTCTTTACAGTTCTCTTAGGAGATCTATTTCCAAATTACTTTAGAGGAACTTATAATTACAACGCTTTAATTCTCTTTTCGGTGTTGTCCGTTGGAATATTAGTCTAAATTAGAAGCGACAGGTGTGCACCTTTGCAAGCAGGTTACCTTGACCTAAATTCATTGCGACATTTTCGCTCTAATCCCTTTTTCCGCTAAATTGATGTTTTCACAAGTCGCATAAATGGATGAGACAAGTCAAGCATCATGATTGTATCTATGCTTTTTCCTTTATTCGATAATCAACCAGCTTTCGTGGAAAACTCAAATCATCAAATATGGCATTTTCGTAATAACATGTTGCCGCAGAGAGAGAGAGAGAGAGTTAATCATCAGTTAAGCGAGACGTCATTGCATATCGCATTGAAATTGAAACGTGTTGCCGTGAGATAATAAGAAAAATAATTTTTTTTTTTTTTTCTAAATTTTTGGTTTTTCTCGCTATTATGTCGCAAAGTAAAAGTCGTGTAGAAAGTTGCTACGCATTGTTTTCTTTTTCTTTTCGGAAGACGTATTTGAGGCATTGTTTACGAAAAGTATGCATAGGAAAAAGATCACACACAAGATAGATAGATAAATAGGCAGCTGCTTGAGAAATGAACATTAACGCCTATTCATTTCCGTACCCATAAATGAAATATGCATAAGTACGCAAGCGTAAGTAATTCTATGAAGTACCCATGTACAGCGATACCGCGAAATGTTAACAAAGACGGAATCGTTGCGAATATTATGAAGATTGAGGAAAATTTTTAGTTAAAAATTGTTTTGAAAATCGTTTGTTGCAAATATTTTAACTACACGATATATCGCTTGTGTTTGATACTTGAATGGCTTTAATTCTTCGCAAGAGTTTTATGAGATTGAGGCGATAGGCCGCAGGCTCTTGTTAGCAAACTCAATTTCAATCCTTAATATAGAATAATGCCATCACATAGTAGTAGTAGCATTGCATTTTCTCTTAATGGCTCTAAAATGATCCAAATTTTTACACCTAAGGCGAATACTATTTACTTCCCTTGCTATAAGTAAACTTGAGGCACTTTTAGTCCGTTGCTGTGTGCGTTGACGTTGCTTGAAGGTCCATCACAGCTGGGAGTGTCGGAATGTTTGCTCTTTTGTCAAAACGCATTAACTGTAGGTTCATGGCACAAGGATGATTAATATTTGACCCTGTGATTCAAATTCATATCTCATTTCCGTAAGTGTACGCGTACTCTTGTCGAATTAGAGTCGCCACCGGTAAAAAAACCATTAAACGTTTTTCGGAAAAAATCCTAATGCCACGACGACTAAAGAGAACATCGCCTTCTGCGGAAAATCTTCGGTCACAAAATGACGCAATTTTGATGAAAGATCCCCTAGGATCAAATAGCCAAAGAAAATGCCTTTGAAGAGATGCTTTCTGCTATTGTGGAAGATGTTTTTGTTCTATATAAAAAGACTGTAAGACAACTTCACGTCTGTGCTATTAATCAACCTGTTATGCTAATGAAGAGAGAGAGAGAGAGAGAGAAAAAGAGAAACTCTAGCATTTTATGCCGTTTCGCAAGTTCATTGCTGCGTGGGACAATTGACAAAATTATCTCATTTGTATAAGTCTTCCATTTTTGATAAATGTAAAGAAATTAATGTTTTGAACTTTTTAGATCAAAAAAAAGAAATTATTAATATATATAGATAAAGAAATATTCCATGCAAACATATATGTATGTATGTATATACATATAAAAAAAAAAAAAGAAGTAATCATTTAATAAAAACCACCAACACTAACCGATTCGTTTGACATGAACATCGCGATTGAATGATACACGCGGACCACCATTTATGGTAGCATGCGTTGCTATTTGCGGTGATGCGGTTGGTGTTGGAGCAGATGTGTGGGTCGCTTGAAGTGTTTTCGCTGGCAGTGATGATGTCGACGATGATGATGGCGGCATTGTCATTGATGGCACGGTAGTAGAATTCGAATTTCTTGTTGATGTTGTTTGTGTTGTTATTGGCGTTGTTGTTGTCGTTGTTGTTGTTACCGTATTATCAGCCAAAGAGGATTTCATTAATCTTTGGTTTTGCACAGCCATTGCAAATTTTAATTATTTATTTATTTATTTTTTTTTTTTATATTTATTTTACAATTCAATAGCAATGCGACTAACAGGTGATTTTAATAAAAAATTTGCATTTTTTTTTTTTTTTGCTTAACGATTTTATTAAATTTTTTTATCTAATTTTCTTCTACTCTCACTCTTATGAAATTTTATAAAATATATTTGTTTTGTTTTTTTAATTTTTTTTTTTTTTTTTTTTGTGGATATTATTTATGCTGAAGCGAGAGGTAGGCTGAAATTTAAAAAAATAAATTTCTGCTTTAGCATTAAATTGAAATTAATTTCATATAAAAATGAAATTGATTTTAATTTGTTTTTTTTTTTTATTTTTTTTTATTTTTTTTTTAGTGCATTTAGTCAGAGCTATTTGTAATTATGGTTAACAACGATTAGAATAAAGATATGTGTGACTACGCAAAGGTAAAAGAGACAGAGAGAAGAGCGAACGAATGTATATTGTTATGAGTGAGTAATTGCTCTGCATACTGGATTTTATTGTTATGTTATTTTATTATTTTTTATTATTAATTCCTTTGAAATAATTAATTAATTGCAGTGAAAAAGTTATTTTATGTTGTTGTTTGGTTGTTCTTTGTTTTTTTATTATTATTATTATTATTATTATTACTATTAAATTGTTATATAAATTAATCATGAAAAATGAAAGCGCCACGCCAGTCACATATGATCGCTATCGAAAGGAAGAATCAAAACATAGTTCAACTATTTTTCAATTCTTAAGTTAGGAAAGATTGTACAGTAAATCTCAGTAAAAGTTAAGTAATATCGTCTATATAATCATTTGCAAGTTGAGTGTTATACGACATGAGTGGTATTTCTGCGCAAGAATCTGTAGACAAAGATGACGTATACAAGCTACTTCCAAAGATAGACGTCGATTAATAACAGCGTCAAAAACCATCAAGAAGTAAAGGCTTCTAAATCTATTCTAAATACAGGGCAAAATTTGCTTTAAAGTGTAGTGTCTTGCCGACTGAATGTTGTTGTTACTCTAGAAGAAAAGTGATCATCAAAACGGGTAAGAGCTTAATAAACTAGAATAATAATGCCTAAATGCCTAAAAGAAATTGGAAGCAAGAAGTACTTGATTGATGTGCACGCAAATGCTCGGCCATGACCTGCAAAAAAACAAATGCAGGAATATTTGAAGCACGCACATCCTGCTGTCACCAGATATTGCGCCTTCTAAGTAAAGCTAGTTTCACTCGAGGTCTTATCCTCTTCTCAAGCAGAGCCCCCGCTCAGATGTCGATACCAAAGACAGGATAATCCCACAAAACAAACCATTCATGCGGACAGACGGCTCTGTTCTGTCTGATGTCTTGCCCTGTTTTTAAGCAGAACTGCCGCTCAGATGACGGTACCAAAGAATGGATAACTCCAAAAAACCGAATCGTTCTTGAGGACAGACGGCCCTTTTCTGTCCATAAACGGGCTAAAGTGCTTATGTCTTGTCGGCAGCGCCTTTCGCAATGATGGATTTACGTATATAAAGATTCCGTCAGCCTTAGGAAAACATGGGTGCCAAAGCTTTCGAACAATTGAATGCTTTTCCATTCTTGTGCAAGAAAAGTCGTTCCCTTATCGAAAGTTACGTTGCTTTAGGGTTTCCCTAACTTAACCGTTCAGTATCGTGGTTGGGTATGTTTTAAACTACTTCTGATTTTCATTATAGAATCAATTGTAAACTTCGACTTTTAGGCCGAAAATTCTTCTCTTTAACGTTGTTTTAAGGAATTACTTTTCTTGCTTCCGTTCTTTTCAAAAAAAAAAAAAAAAAAAAAAAACCTTAATATCATATTAGACAGATACGACTACACTTTACCATTTATTTTTCTTTCCATACTTGCTGTTTGCATAGCATCTAGCAAAAATCTCTAGAATTCAAGTTTTCTTTTTCTTCTAACTCTTTCTTATTGCATAATTGATTTATGATATTTTACAACTTTACTTCATAAACTATGAAGGTAAAAACCACAGATAATTAGTGCTAAAAAAAATGATTCATGTGGTGCTGTTGTTTGCTTTATACTTTCTTGGAATATGAAATGAAAGCGTAACATGAAAGTTTTCTTATGTCAAACTTTATTCCGACTTAAGATTGTTTGCCTTTCGAAATATTTGAAAGAAAGAACTACAAAGTCTTCTATGTCTTTTTGTTAGCCAACATTGCTTTTATAGTCGTCACTGAAGGACGAGAGATATACTCATTTTGTGAACGCGTTTGCAACTCCGAAAAGCAATCTTCAGAGACATCAGAAAGTATATATCCTTTTAATCGGCATCAAATTCTAAATCGACTTGAGGATGTTAGTCCGCCAAGCCGTGTTCTGAGCTCTCTCTTGGCCGCAAAAATGAAGCTGTCGACTTCAACTTGAGCAGCAATATTTTGGTAATTCTTGTTCGCAGATTGCTATTGAAAATGGGCCAAATCGGTTAAAAGACAAGCCCACAGCGTCACATAAATTGGGAAAGCAGTAAGAAATTGGTTTCTTCCTCATTACTCGTAAAGTAAAATTTTTGCAAAAATTTGTACGCATATTCGGTAGGTGTCGCTGTAAGCTCTGTAGAAATATCGAAAAAGTTGACCACGCCTGCTCAAAATTATAGTGCAGCAAAATCTAATTTTTTTTCAATGCCGAAACAAGTTTCCAAAAAGCTTTAGAACGCACCTAAACATATCCATCTATCCGTCTGCGCAAGTATGTAGTATTTGTGGTAAATATTCGCCCGTTCGCAAAACTAAAGCTATCGCCTATAAATTGGTAAAAGAATTTCGAAATAACACAAACTTTTCAAAGGACACGCCTATAAGACCCACACGTCTATGCGATAAAAATTGCGACCATACTTGCTTCCCGTGTTTTTTGCTTGTTACACATACAGGTATAAGTCCTACACCATATATATATGCACTTTTTGTCTGAAAATGGAAAAAAAATCACCGCGCCCACCACATATCACCGAGAGTGAAAACAGTCACATAATATAGAGAAAGAAAATTTAGTTTTTTCCCCTTTTTTTTTAATCAGGGATGAGCATAAAAGATTCGGTCAACACTAAATATAATTCTCTTAGTTGCTTCTCTTTGAGTGCTTAGTTTAATAAAATTAGTTACGCGAGACTATAGTAAGGCAATAGAAGATTCCTCTGCTAAAAAAACACTAATACCTTACCTTAATTACCAAAAGTTTCCAGCCCCTTAAGTAGAATCATATCTATAGTAAAGAATATTGCTCGCTACTTTTAAGTGGAATTGCACTCCTAAGTATTTTCAGAGAGAGAGAAAGAGAGAGAGAGAGAGAGAGAGAGAGAAAGAGAGAGAGAGAGAGAGAAAGAAAGAATAGTGAAAATGGCTGACTCACTTTGAATTAAATCAAAATTCTTAAAATCTTCTACTAATAGTCAATTACTACTCAAATCATGTTGAAATTCACGAGGTGTCGGCATTACTGTGCAGCTTTATAAGCTTGCTCCTCCTCACTAAACCAAAATGTTCCCAACAATAAGAGAGTCTGTGTTATGCAAACACTCTCGAGACTAAACTACGAAAGTTTCACTGAATTTCTCAGCGAAAATGAATTACTTCTTGGGGAATGTGGTTCACGTATAGTAAACAGATAATCATCTGACTATCGAAAATGAGGCATTAATTCAGTTTATAGTTTTTCACAAGTTGCAATTATTTTCGCTGGCTCGTATCTCGTAAATTGTTGAGTAATTAAAATTTTTATTTTACGATTTTGTTTATCTCAAGTTCGCATTTTCGCACATTAACTATTACTACAAGCACACAACTACACTGTTGTTAGTTAATTAATAATCTTTTTTTAAAAAAAAAAAAGCGACAGTCACGGTTTGTTTTACTCTCATATATCAGACAGTTAATTTTTCGGAAAAGTATTCACAAAACATGTTTTGTTTAACGTTAAAAGAGGAAATAATACCGATCGGCTTGTTGAAAAGAAAACTTTATGAAGAAAAGCGTATATGAGTTTTTATGTTTATTTACTTTGCGGATCGTAAATGATGATCATTTGTAACTAAAGACGTCAAAGCATTTAATTTTGAAATTTTCAAGATTTTTTATTGCCTCACCCTTAATTAGCCGTTATAGCCATTGTATGTTATAACCAACTGGGTGTGTACGGCAGTAGTCAACTTTTTTTTAGAAACCTGTAACAAATTTATGATTCTTCTGCGTTTAAATTCTGACAACTGTGAAAAGTGTTGACAGGTAGGCAAACGGATCTGCTTAATGAACTGATACCTATATAGATTATGGTGTTGTTCATTAAAAGAAAGAAATAAACAAAAAAAAATATAAAAAAAAAAAAAACACAAAACAAAAGCATAGACATCATGTCTTTAACCTTTTCTTAGGAATGTTTACTATAACGATATATATATATATATATATATGTATGTGCTCGTTTATGCATATGTTATGCATACATGCACATATATACATATATATTTATATTTATATGTTTATATGTAATTTAGAACATTTACATAAATATATTCAAGGCAACAAGGTTTCACGTAATCAACAATTTTTATATATATATACGTATATATATATATATAGTTTTTTTTTTTCGTTATTCTTGTTTTGATTGCAGTTTATATGAAATAACACAAGAACGCAACACAAATCACCCTGAGTATGACTGGCGGTCATATACAAAATAAACCTAGTCTCAAACAGTATAAATAGTATGACTTTATTCGCAAACAAACAACGACAACAAACTATATAGCTAAATACATTAGAAATCTATCTATATGTATATAAATATATGCATGTATGAGTATATGTTTATGAACATAGTTTGCTTAAAGGTTGACATAAATAAAGAGTGAATTGTGACCAGACTTGTCTTGTATCGAATTTATGAGGGATTAAACCAGAGCACGTATAAAACTGAACGAACCTCAAGCAAAAATGCTCAATAACAAGGTTTTAAATATTAGTACAAGAAAAACAATTTTATTTTTCTTTCTTTTGTTGTCAGAAAATTTAAAAAGTATTTTAAAGGCAAAAAAAAAAAAGAAAAAAAAATCAAGAAAAATATTTCAAATTTGTTGCTTAACAAAGTGACCACTATTTACTAAATTTGTATTGCATGTGTATGTGTAAGTGTGTTTGTATTTGTTGATTTAGTTTATAAATTGTTTTTCTAATTTTTTTTTTACTTTTTTTATTTT